TGAAATTTGTTTCCTTATTGGCCAGCCTTTGCCCAGTCATCGGCATCTGGGCCGCAAGAGCGGTGTCGGCGGGTTGACCGGCTGAGAGAAGGCGCGACTGAAGGCGCTCCTTGCCTTCGTCGGGATTTAAGCGACTAATAGCGTCTTTGTCATCTTAATTCGTGCTAGTTTTGAGCAATGGCTGATAAGGAAAGCATGCAAGCATACTGGGTCAACCGACCCATCATAACAAGCAGCGACCGACGGACCAGTTAGACACACCTAGAAGAGCGACAAGTCATCCTTGTGAATGGTTCATTGCAATGAAGCGAAGGCAGAGAACCCGTCTCAGAGCCGGACCAAGTTCATCGCATCTGACTTTCCGACCTTGTTTGACTTGCTTGTAGTCGGCACCGGCGAGGCGCGTGATTGAACGCGACGGGGAGGAGATGAATCCCCCAGACAGACCGGTGAGTGGTTAGAGCGAGAGACCAGGGGGTAAAGATCACGGCAGCGCGCACCCGTGCACTCGGATCCCAAAACGCGACGCAATGCGAACTCGGCAACGCGAGAAGGATTACGTTTCCGTTTGGCGAGGAAGTACACCGGCAGCGAAGATAAACGCACTCTGCTCGACGAATTTGGACATAATATGTCGCGCGTAGAGGCAGAGACCGAACCCCCACGACCCCCAACCCTAGCGACGCGGCGGCCGAATTTCTCTCAGCGACGCGAAACCGAGACACGCAGTAACGCTCCACTTGACCACCTTAGGGATTAGGGAGTAACCTTTGGCGGTACTCTTATGCGTGACGAAAGTCGACCCCCTTCGCGTTTCCTTCGGGAGCTGCTGCCACCTAGCGTTTGAGGTCACCCCTCCCTTAGCGACGGCGGCAGGTTTCACCTAGAGAGTTAGAAGTCGACACCCTTAGAGGGTTGGGGCCGATTCCATAGCGAAGGGGAGACTGACCCTCCTAGCGAGCAAGGGCGGATTCCTTAACGGGTAGAAGCAGATGTCCCCTAACGAGTGGGGCTGATCCCCTTGAAGGCGGACCCCCCAACGATTTGTGGCTGACCACTTGGCGAATTAGGGCTGACCCATAGCGAATTGTGGGCCGATCCTCCTAGAGAGTTGGAGCCGATCTTCTAGCGAATTGGAGGCCGATCCTCCTAGAGATTCGGGGCCGACCCCATAGCGAATTGGAGACTGAACCTCCTAGCGAGTTGCGCTGATCCCCTAGCGAAACGGAGGCTGATTCCTCCTAGCGAGTTGGGGCTATTCCCCTAGCGTTATTGGAGGCTGATCCTCCTAGCGAGTTGGGGCTGACCCCCTAGCGAAACGGAGGCTGATCCTCCTAGCGAGTTGGGCTGACCCCCTAGCGAATTGGAGGCGGATCCTCCTGGCGATTGGGGGCTGATCCCCGAGCGAATTGGAGGCTGACCCTCCTAGTGATTTGGGGCTGACCCCCTAGCGAATCGGAGGCTGATCCTCCCAGCGAGCTGGGGCTGATCCCCTAGCGAACCGGGGCTTATCCTCACAGCGATTTGGGGCTGACCCCCTAACGAATGGGAGGCTGACCCCCCCCCCTTAGCGAGTGGGGCTGACCCCTAGCGTATCGGAGACAGACCCTCCTAGAGAGCTTGGGGCAAA